TATAATTATTATCTCTACTGTTGCTCTTCATATTATCACTTCTAGAGTCAGGAAGACCTAGTGCTAGTGTCTCTCAAGAAATTTTTTCTTTGTTTTTTGGGGGGGTTTTTTTTAGAGACAGTTTTGCTCTGTCCCCTTGGCTAGAGTGCAGTGGTGTTGTCATAGTTCACTGCAACTTCCAGTTCCTGGGCTCAAGCGATCCTCCTGTCTCAGCCTCCCAGGTAGCTAGGACTACGGACAAGTGCATCCCGGATCCTTTTTTCTATATTTAGTAGAGGTGGGGGTCTCGCTCTTACTCAGGCTGGTCTTGAACTGCTGACCTCAAGTGATCCTCCTTCCTTGACCTCCCAGAGTGCTAGGATTACAGGTGTGAGCTACAGTGCCCGGCCAGGACTTTTGCTGAGTTCCTTGTGCCCCTTGTGCCCATCTTCTCTGGTATGTGTCTGTGAAGCCATTAATTTATCCCCTCTCTAATTATTCCCCAAAAATGCACTTCAGTTGCAGTAGGGAGGTTGAGTTGGATAGTCAGAATCCTCCTTGGGTGCCTCGTCCCCAGTGCAAAGCAGATGTATTAAATGACCTTATTTCCAATAATTGGTGTGGAAGGGTGTAAGTGATCATGGTGGGCTCGTCTCTCCTTCAGGCTCTGTTTTCACTTTGGCTTTCCTTTACGTTTCTTATATGTGTGATTTCCTGCCTCCCGCCCCCGCCCCCCTTGATTGAAATAACTATTGAACCATGGTTCTCTTCCTAAGATCAAGTTCATGGCCTGAAAAGAATTTTTTCTTACTTGTCTCCATCTTGACTGCTAAGTCTGAATTTTTCTTCCCAGTGTTTTTTGCAAGAATTACCATGAAAAGAGTAGATACTGTACTTCTGTTCAAGTTGGAGGGGGAGGAAGAAAAAAGAATAGATATTGTGATTTCTAAATTTCATAGAAACAGAACGAGTGTGAGAAGGAAAACAGGTAACATTTTAACATCGGTGCACTTAGAATTTTAGAGATAAAAATGACTTCAGTTATCAGCTAGCTAGTTTATCTCTAAGTTTCTAGCTAAGGAAAAATAGATTCAAGAGAAGTGACTTGGCTAAGTTCACCCAGCTATCCCAGTGCCTCTTCTGCTAAACCATACTTCTTGGATATTGCTATGCTGTTTAGTGCTGCAGAATAAGATTTCTCGAGTTCTGTTTTTTGAGGTAGGAAGTATAAATCGTTTCTAAAAGCTCCAAATGTGTTTGTGCCAGTCAGGAAATGACTCCCCTTTTCTTGTATTGTTCTAGAGTTCATACTGGCTAAAATTAGCCGAAATGTGTGCCATAGTTCCAATGAGTTGGATGGAACAAAAGAAAGCATATAATGCTGGTTAGCTGAAGGCTTCATTCTTGTGGGCTTTCAGATGGCAGTGATTGAGGCCTCTGAGTAGGCAGCTAGTTGTATTTACCTTCCCTCTTGAAAGAAAGTAACATCTAAAATGAGTAGGCTGAGTTAAGGAAATGTGAGGCCACTGGGTAGAGGTTTTGGCTCAGAGTAAGTTACCCAATTTTCCTGCAACAATTTTTGTCTAAAATAGCCTACTTAGTAGGCAGTGCTTTGCTCAAAGATCTCAAGAAGTAAGTTCAGTCTCCTGTTTTTCTGCTGAATTTTCCCTCTCCAATGATAAATAAGTTCTGTGTAGTTTACTTGGAATTTTTCTCCATGTTTACTCATTCTAAGGGGATATTGTGTGTTAGAATCTGAGAATGCTTTTACTAGCGAGCTCTTAGAGGTTATCTGTTACTGGTTCTTAACTAGGGGTAGTATACCACCCAGATGGCTTTGGAAATGTGGGGTTTTGAGTAATAACTTTAGCTGCAGATGCTGCACTTCCTACAGTATATAGGGAGGGTCCTGCCCAGTGAAGAATTGGGTTGCCCAAAATGCTTGCTTGCTTCTGTTGACAAACACTGAGAGCCCAATCCTCTGTTATTTCATAATGGGGAAATGAGGATTCAGTTACAGCTGCCCTTAG